GGAGGGACAGCTGTCCCCTGGCCAGCGCTGGCAGGGGCCCGCATGCACCGGCACGCACCACGGCACGCGAGGGCCAGTGACCTTGCAGCACTTCAGCATGCAGATGCTGGGATCTGCAGGAGGCATCGAGCTCTGCCCGCTCTCCCATTTGCATGGGTGTTTGCAGGGACCGTGGCCTCAGCCCATTGCAAGGGGAGGTCGTTTGTTTTGCGGGTTTGGAGCTATTTTTTATTTAGTATTTTTCTTTCATTTTTATTTCAGTGTTTTCCTTTGGCACCCCTCACACCTGCCCCTGGCCCCCAGACACCCCAGGCCTGCACCACGGCGGCCATCTCTCTCCCAGCACTAACCCGCCTCCCCAAAACAGGGTCAGGAAACTTGGATTTCCCGGGGGAAGTGGGCCCGCAGCACCGAGCGAGCAGGAGCAGGCCGTCTCCTTGACGTGCCTTGTCTCATTGCCTCCCTTCAAGCCCACTTACGAAAGCAATGAGGGAGCAGACAGCCGAGGCAAGGCTCGGATGCTCAGCATTATTAATTAGCCAGTAATTTGCCAGTTACCACCATTACAGGCTCACCCCATCCCCCTGTGCCCCTCCAGGGGCTGTGATGGAGGATACAGGCGACACGAAGAGCCAGGCAGGAGGCTGCAGGAGGCAGGTACCAAGTGCCAGGCTGGGATGCCAGGCTTTTTGCACATTAATCGCTGCCCAGGAATAGTCCCAGTGTGATATGGTTCGTTAACACCTGTATTTCTCTGGCTGCCCCCAGGAAGGATTTGGTTTATCCTCGCCCAGTTTGGGCCAGTTTGTCACCAGCCGTCGCCCTGTGCCAGCAGGCTGGGCAACAAGCCCCACCAAGGATTCAAAATTCATTTTCTCCCTGGGGCAGCCCAGGGAAAGCTGCTGCCCACGTCCTGCCAGCTCCAGGCACTGGCTCTGCCCGCGCTGCCAGCCCGGGGGTCAAGGACTCCAGGAGCCCCAAATCACTCCCTGCTGCAACATCTCCACTCCAGCTCCAACCCACTGCCCTTTCCCAGCCCTGCTACATCAGACCCTTGTCCCCCCATTTTGGGGACAGGCATGCCAGGCAGACGCAATGAGCATGTCTGGCCACGGGCACGTAGACCTCAGTCCCTGCGTTGCACAGGGGAAGCAAAAAGCCCGGCTACACAACACCGAACCCCTCTTCAGTGAAACACCACGAGACGGAAAACCTCTGGAGGGGCTCACAGAGATTTAAGCAGTGGGGGTGGCACAGGTGAATGGACCAGGTGGTCCCGCAAGGTGCCTTTGCTGCGTGTGCGAGTCCGTGCTCGGGTCTCAGTGCAGCAGCATGAGGGGTATCGCTCCCGAGCCGGCTCTGCTCCCCTTACCACTGCTGGATCCCAGAGGGGGAGAGAGAGAAACAGGAGACAGGAATTCACTCGGCTTGCCAGCGCCAGGATGAACCACTAACATCTGCTGCCTGCCAAGACTGGCGGCCTCTTCTTCTGGCTCTGGCACAAGCTCCAGAGAATCGGAGCTGCCCTGCAGCACCCAGGGGTGAGCATCCCTCAGCCCCGCGCTGCTCAGGGTCTGGGACCAGGGCACTGGCAAAGCCTCCTCCAGCATGGACCAGCCTCAGACCCTTGCTGCCACGAAGGAGTGGAGCAAGAGAGCTCCCTGGGACATTTTCCGTACAGATGGGCTGTAAATCCCAAGCAACTCCTGACTTGAGCAATTACATTTTGCCTCCTTAAAAATAAAAAAAACAAAACATGCCCTTTATTTTCGGCCATCCCTCACCACTAAGAGATCCGTCACTGCCACAGCCCACCCCAGAGGTGGCTGCATTTTATTAGGGGCACAAAGATTCCTGCCAGAAAGAGGTTACATGCTCCGCAGGGTCTGGTTTGGCTTGTGCTCAGCACAGCAAGGGGCTGAGGGCTTGACTCATGATCCAGACGTGCCTTTCCCAGCTCTGCTTGGCAGCCGGAGCAGGACAGGACGGAAAGCACCACCTGGCTGCCCTGGGGGAGGGTGGCACCCCCCAACCGAACCCATTCAAAAGCAGGAGCCACCCCATGGTGGCAAGCATCCCTCCACCCTGCAAGAGCCATGTCTGCAGGACCCAAAAAGCACCTTGAGATCTACCTACTTGCCCCAGCTGGCCACCAGGAAGCAATCCCAGGACCCTTGCTAGCATGAAACCACCCCAAAGTGCAGGGGGGCAAAGCCTCCTCCCCAAATCCGGGGGGCACAGTGCTGCCGTGGGGTGCCAGCAGAGGCGAGCTGGGAGCGCAAGAGGCAGCAGCGAGCGTCTCCTCCACCGGAGCCAGCAGCTGCGCAACCCAACAGGCAGCAGTGTAACGATTTCATCATTTTCCAGCAAAATTGAATTAGTTCAAAGCCAAAATCTGATTTGCGAGCCCAGCGCTCTTGACAGCAAACCCTTTACTTTGTCAGGCAGCTGTTAGCTGTCTCCTCCGGAGCTGCGGGGAGGACAGCAGCAGGGAACGCAGGGCTGCTCCGCAGGGAGCCCCTGCCCACCACCTACCTGCACCACCAGGCACCCAAACCCTTGCTGGGGCAGGGCTGGGGCTTAGTGATGGGTGCTGAGCACCAGCAAGCAGGGCTGGGGGGAGGTGGGTGATAGCAGGGTTGTCAGGACCTCCACCAGACCCTCCCAAACACACACACCAGCACCGCAAAACCCCTCTTGTGCCAGGTATCTGACCCTGCCTGGGGACTACCTAGCCCAGCCTGGTGCTGCCTAGTGTAAGACCTCCCCACCATCCAGAGCTGTAGCCTCCCTGCAACCACTCATGGTTCATAAAGTTGCCTGGAATAAAATCCAGCAATAGTAATAGCTGGAAAACAAACCCAGAGAGCCAAGCTCGAAGGTCCCCCATTCCCCACCACTCAGAAGCCCCACACAGAGCTGCTGAGCCACAAGCAGGGGCCAGGCACACCCATGTGAGCACTAGGCTGGAGGACACCTCTTGGGACAGAGGGGAACGCTCCCTCGGTTGGGAATCACTCTGGGATGCCAGCACCTGCCTCCGGCACCTCTGGGTGACAGTTTGCACTGGCGACACTCAAAACCCATCTTGTTCACAGCACCTTGTGCTCTCCATCCTCCTCTCCAGCACCTCATGGAGAGGACATTGTCACTCCATGCTGAGCATCTGACCAACACCAGCAACTACCAGCACCACCAACTTCACCGCCTCCCTCCATCAGGTCTGCACTTCCGATCCCCCACCACCTCCTGCTTGGACACCGCCAAGTCCCAGGTGACACAACACTCATAAATTCACGTGTGCCATCTGCGAGGGTCTCCCCATCAGCAGATGCCCTGAGGACTGAGCATCCTGCCCTCCCATCCCAGCTCACTGACACTCCCCAAATCTACAGGGTAGGGGAACCAGATGCAGGCACCTGTGTTGGCACAGGGCCCCTCACTCAGGGCTCTCCACGGGCACCAATGCAACCCAAACCCAGACGGCTGCCCCACACAGAAGCAGTGATCTCCACAAGGAATGCTATCAAGCAAGGAGCACCCAGCCCAAACAGCATCAGTCTTCCCCATCAGGAAAACACAACTCAGGTCAGGTCACTGGGAAAGGTCTGGCCAGAGAGCACCACCAGGACATAGAAACAGCCTGGCATGGGTGGAGACAAAGGGGAACTTACCGAGTTGATGCAGCCCAGCTCCTTATTCAAGAGCCAGGGCAGCGAGAGTTTTCCTTCCCCTCTGTAGCACGACTGGATACGCTCCTTGATCTTATCCTTGATCTTCTTCAACGTGAAGAGGCAGAGCACAGACTCCTTGGGAGGCTTAACCCTGTTTTTCTGGCCCTGGGAGAAGATGGTGAAGAGGATATCCTCCCGCTCCGAGATGCCCAGGTACTTGGCCAAAGCCTTGCCAGGCTTGGTCAGGTAGGCATCCTGGATCAGGCGGTACTCAATGCCGTCCTGCACACAGCCAATGGGGAACTCCACGTAGGAGTAGAATTTGGGGTCATCCACACAGAGGCGGACTATCTTGGAGGTGAAAAACTGCTCCCCAGTGGAGTCGGGCGAGGTGAGCTGGGTGTCCAGCTGCAGGGTCAGGTAGTAAACAAACTGCTCGCTGCTGAAGCTGTAAATGTAGTAGATGTCGAAGGTGGGAAACTTGGAAAGCGTATCCGAGGGGATCTTGAGCTGGGACGAGACAAACTCATCCTGGTAGACAAAGCCAAACATCTCTGCATTCTCCTCGTTGGCCATCAGCTTGCGGCTGGAGAGTGTGGGGAAGTACTCCGACTTCCCGTCAATGGGTGTCCCAATAAAGAGTTTGTTCTGCCCATTCAGCACCTCGATGATGACCCCAGACATGGTGCCCGACTCATTGACACTAGAGAGGTAGTGCTCCTTGCGGTGGTGGGGCTCCCCCAACTTGAAGAGGTCATCCAGACGCAGGAACTGGCAAATACCCTGGGAGGCACTGCCACAGGCGATCAACCTGTTCCCCGAGTAGTCCACCAGCAGCAGTTTGTTCACGTTGTTGGTGGTGACCAGCCCGTGTGGGCAGGACTGAACGCTGGGCGGAGGGTAACACTTCTCATTGTCCTCCACGGGCCCAGTCACGTGGGTCCGCAGGAGCGTGAGGTTATTGGAGAGCTTGTAGATCCGATTGACAGCTCCCACATAGACCTCCCCGGTTTTGTTGTGGACCACCAAGTGCGTCAAGCTCCAGTCTGTAACCGGGAAAGTCCTAAAGGGCGACTTGGGGCTGCCTTCCGCCAGCGGTAGCCAGGTGCTCCCCAAGAGCAGCAAGGTCCAAACGTTGACGGACAAGTGGTGCTTGAGCCAGAGAAGCCACATTGCAGCAGCCTCACATCTGGCCAAGGCCATGCCCAAACCCAACCACAAAATAAATAGAAACAAACCCAAACTAAAGGGAGGAGGGAGGAAGGAGGAGCTAACGGGACACAGTCTCCTCTGCTTCCGCTGCGCTCGGCCAGTGCATCAGGGGCACGGCGAGTTCGGTCAGCCCGGGAGGGAGAAAGACAAGAAGAGCAGGGTTAGGAGGCTTTCCTGCACAGTGGCAAGCCTCTTCCACCCCACCCAGCAGAGACTGTCTACTTCTTTTCCAGCAGGCAGCCTAACAAAACATCCTCCCCACCTCCTTGCCCCAGAGGAACACGCATCCCCGGTGCAGGAACCAAGGGAGCCTGCCCGCAAGAGGCTACGGACAACCCCGCCTGGTTGCACTCTGCTGCATGCAGCGTGTCCCAACCAAGGAGCTGCCATGCGCTCTGTCCCAACATCCTGGCCTTGACTACCAGCCCCACCAGCCAGTGGCCCCCTCCGAGGGGCACTACCCTGGCCTCGCCCCCACCCAGGCCCCCTTGGAAAGAGCAGCAGCCGTCTGAGCGGGCCTTCGGCCGCTGGCTGGACCAGACTGGCACGTCCCCGCCTGGCGATGCGCTCCGGCATGCCTACCGCACGCAAACACCTCGGCGGGGCATAGCTGGCCCCAACCTGCTTTTAAGACCACCAGCAGCACCACAGTGTTCGTCAGGGTGGCTGCTAACAAGCCTCGAGAGGAGGCCC